AGTTTCTCTGCACGTTAATTTATACTTGTTTGTGTTCTGTGAAGTTGTAATTGGTAATTGCATTTAACATTATCTCTTGATTAGTTCCTTATTATTCATGAAGATCAAATCTTGTGTACGTATTTTCATATCTAGTAGGTTCTGGTCTCTGTTGGTTCAAAGCAAACTTTGCAGAGTGCCAGTAACCCTCTGGTATGTGTGTACATTAAAACCCCTGTATCCACGGATTTGGTTTCTGCTGTTTCAGTTATCCACTGTTTGCCGTGGTCCGAAAATTACCCTTAATTTTGCTTAATAATGGCCCCAAAGTGCAAAAGTAGTGATGTTGGTAGTTCTTCAAAGCCTAAGAGAACCCTTGAAGTGCCTCCCATCAGTGAAGAAGTGCTTATTCTTGACTTACTGTGCATCATTTATCAAACTTTATCATAGACATGTATGTAACCGAGAAACGACTTGCGTAACAGTGAACATGTAAACAGTATTTAGATAAAAGTAGGGGAGTTTTCATTGTATTTATGGATTTAGAAAAGGCATGTGATAGAGTGGATAGGGGAGCAATGTGGCAGATGTTGCAAGTGCTTGGAATAGGTTGTAAGTTACTAAATGCTGTAAAGAGTTTTTATGTGGATAATGAGGCTCAGGTTAGGGTGTGTAGAAGAGAGGGAGACTACTTCCCGGTAAAAGAAAGGTCTTAGACAGGGATGTGTAATGTCACCATGGTTGTTTAACATATTTATAGATGGGGTTGTAAAAGAAGTAAATGCTAGGGTGTTCGGGAGAGGGGTGGGATTATATTATGGGGAATCAAATACAAAATGGGAATTGACAGTTACTTTTTGCTGACGATACTGTGTTTTCGGGGATTCATAAGAAAAATTGCAAAGGTTAGTGCATGAGTTTGAGAGGGTGTGTAAAGATAGAAAGTTGAAAGTGAATATAAATAAGAGTAAAGTGATGAGGGTATCAAATGATTTAGATAAAGAAAAATTAGAGATCACATTGGAGGGAGGGAGTATGGAAGAAGTGAATGTTTTCTGATATTTGGGAGGTGACTTGTCAGTGGATGGGTTTATGAAGGATGAGGTTAACCAAAGAATTGATAAAGCAAAAAAAAAAGGTGAGTTGTGTGTTGAGGTATCTGTGGAGACAACATTATCCATGGAGGCAAAGAAGGGAATGTACGAGAGTATTGTAGTACCAACACTCTTATATGGGTGTGAAGCATGGGTTGTAAAGCATGGATTGTAAATGCTGCAGCAAGGAGGCAGCTGGAGGCAGTGGAGATGTCGTGTCTAAGGGCAATGGTGGTGTAAATATTATGCAGAGAATTCATATGTGGAAATTAGGAGGAGGTGTGGAGTTACTAAAAGTATTAGTCAGAGGGCTGAAGAGGGGCTGTTGAGGTGGTTTGGTCATTTAGAGAGAATGGAACAAAGTAGAATGACTTGGGGAGTGTATAAATCTGTTGAAGGAAGGTGGGGTAGGGGTTGTCCCCAAAAAGGTTGGAGGGAAGGGGTAAAGGAGGTTTTGCGAGTGAGGGGCTTGGACTTCCAGCAAGCATGCATAAGCGTGTTAGATAGGAGTGACTGGAGACGAATGGTTTTTGGGACCTGACGACTGTTGGAGTGTGAGCAGGGTAATATTTTGTGAAGGGATTCAAGGAAACCGGTTAGCTGGACTTGAGTCTTGGGAATAGGTAATACAATGCCTGCACTTTAACCCTTTCAGGGTCGTGACTCCCAATCCTGAACTTGCTCTCAGGCTCGAAAAATAAAAATAAAAAAAATACTTTTTCTTGTGAAATGATAGAGAATCTTTTCCTGATGGTAATGACACCAAAAGTATGAAATTCAATATTTACGCATCGGCAATTTCGCCCACTTTTAGCCCTATTTACAGCCAATTCCAATGTTCCAGTCAACTAAGATCATAGCTATTTCACTAGAACTCCATTTGTTCTATCGAATGAATACAAGAACCTGCCCATTTACCGATTTCAACTATCCAGTGAAGTGGTAAAAAATTGGCAATTTAACCAATTTCACACAAATTTCAAAAGTTGCCAATTTCAAAATAGGGTCCAGAATAAACAAGACAGACATTCCTGGCACAAAAATAAAATTTTCTCTGTTCATTAGTCATGTCTCTAGGCCCCTTTTATATTACACTTGCTTTCCATTTTGAATTTTTTTCTCACAAAAAATGGAAGATTTACTGTTATACAAACTACTGCATTATTGTAGAAACGGTGTAAATAATATCAGCTCACTTGTGAAAGAATATTAGACTCTCTGGTTGATGTGTATTGGATGCGTGGTGTGATTTGTTAACTATTGAACTTTGGCAAAAATCGAACATTTCCGCTAATTTCAGCTCAATTTGAAGGTACTTTTCATTGTGAAACCAATCAATCATCTCTATTTCTCTAATATATCTTCCATTCTATTAAATGAGACCAAAAAGATGAGAATACACCCATAAATACCAAACGAAAATACACTGCAAAGTCGCTGTTTTAAACCAAAAACATGGTCGGATTTTTTTTTTTCTCATTATGCACTGCGTGCTGCAGGATTTTTTTGTACTGCGCGCATTGACCATGCATACCCATTCTTTCATATGTAGGCCTACCAGCTTTCTTCCACTGGATTTGAAGGCACTGGAATTTACGTGTACAAGTATGGCACCAACCCTGGCTCTCAAGCCGTTTAACCCTTTCAGGGTCCGTCCCGTAGATCTACGGCTTTACGGTGAGTGTCCAAACCGTAGATCTACGCCATGAGCTCAGCTCACTCTGATAAACTGTGAGTGGTACATTTGGGCCTAGATATGAGAGAATACATCTATGTGGTATGTGTGCACCACATAAAACAGATCCTGCAGCACACTGTGTATAATGAGAGAAAAAAACTGAAATCATGATTTTTCGATTAAAACAGCAAATTTGCAGTGTTTTTTCGTATGTTTTTTATAGTTGTATTTGCGATTTCTTGGTCTCATTTGATAGAATGGAAGACATATTACAGAAATAGAGATGATTTTCATTGGTTTTAGCACTGGAAATGGCTTGAACCTGAGCTCAAAGTAGCGGAAATGTTAAATTTTTACCGATATTCAAGAGTAAACAAACGACCTCACACATCTAATACACGTCAGCTGGTGGGTCTAATATACATTCACAAATATGGTGATGATATTTATACAATTATTACAGTATTGCATAACAGTAAATCTTCTATTTTTTGGTGTGAATAAAAATTCATTATGTGAATAAAAAATCAAAATGGAATTTATTTGTAAAGCCTCAAAACATAACTAATGAACAGAGGATATATTAGTTTAGTGCCAGGAATGCCTACATTGTTTATTCTGGACCCTATTTTGAAATTGGAATATTTTGAACTTTGTGTTAAATTGGCCAAATTAACAATTTCCGATCACTTTATTTTGTAGTTGAAACAGTTGACTTGGCGATTTCTTGTGCTCAATCGATAGAATAGAAGTAATACTAGTGAAATAGCTAAGAATTTGGTTGATTGGAATAATGTAATTGGCCTAAAATGGGAGTCAAAGTCGGCAAAATCGCTGATTCGTAAACATCGCTGACACATCAAAATTCGCGAGAGCATAATTTCGTCAATTTTCCACCAAATTTCGTACTTTTTGTTTTATTACCTTCACAAAAAGATTCTCTACGATTTCATAAGAAAAAATAACAAATTTTTTTTTTTGAAAATTCTTGGACACTGGTGCGTGACTCCAGATTTGGGCCTTGGACCCTGAAAGGGTTAAGTATGGCACCGACCCTGAAAGGGTTAAAGGAGGGGCTTAGGATATTGGCAGTTTGGCGGGACGTCTAAGCTGTCGTGTCTGTGCGCCTCTGCAAAGACAGTGATTATGTATGAGTGATGGTGAAAGTGTTGAATGATGATGAAAGTTTTTTCTTGTTTTCTTGGGTTTTTCTCTCTTTTTGGGTCACCTGCCTCGGTGGGAAACGGCCAACGTTTTGGGTATCCATGGTAGGTCTTGGAACTTATCCTCTGCAGCTATAGGGGGACTACTGTATGTGGCTAATGTATTTCTAGGTACGTACAATGCTGTTTACAGTCTTTCATTAATTACGTATTTGGAATGTAGGATTTTCAAAGCTTTCAAGGCAACTATGTATCTTCCTTTCTTATTTGTTATGTGAAATTCTCTCCCATTGATGATGGTTCTTATATACAAATGTAATTGCCAGATTCTAGTTTTCCACTATTAATACAACAGTCGAGTCAGTTATGTAGTCTTTCTCTTCCCTTTGAAGTATTCTCTTGCATCTGTATATGTTGTAATTTGCACCCATATCTTACTGTTAGCTGGATTTGAGTCCTGGAGTTAGGAAGTACAGTGTCTGCACTCCAAAGGAGTGAGTATAGTTGCAGTTTTGAATTGTAGTATCAGTGCATCTGTGGCAGGACAGTGATGGTGAATGTGTTTCTTCATTTTTTGGTCACTCTGCTTATGTGGGAAATGTTTGGTGGGTTAAAAAAAAAAATAGGTTGAAAAACATCCCTTTTATGTGATTCTGTGAACACTTCAAATGATTGCTTTTGTGAGGAGCCCACTCATGTAGTTAACTTCATTTTTCTAGGTACTTTTATCTTTTCCAGGTTGTATTTCATAATAATATACGCATTTTACTTTCCTGCTTTGAAGTTGCACTTCTTAAATCCTTATTTGAGATAAAGGAAATATACTTGTATAAGTACTGTAAATAATTTTAATATATTACATTCATCCTTATTTATACATTCCGTAGAATAGGTTGAATCTTGCTACTCAGCAGCACTGTAGGTACTCATAACCCTCATTAATTAAAGCATTGTAGGACAAAAAATTTTGTTCTTTCTAATTACAATCTTATTTCTGTATTTAAGGTAATAACCTTCAATAACCTTCAGCTTTCTCTTTTCTTGTTTCTGTATGCAAGGTTATAACTTTCAGCTTTCTCTTTTCAGATCAAAGGCAAACGGGGGTATGTGCCAAAGAGATATATCCGAGAAAATAAAATTTTAATAAAAGACCTTAAATATGAAGTTCCAACTGAATCCTTTACTGATGATAAACATTTGAAGGATCATCATAGTGAGGATTCAGAAGAAATTCATGAAGTATCTGATAATACTGAGAATGAAGAAAAAACTTTAGGTGTAGAAGAAATTGCCTTAAGTGCTGAGGATGTAGAGTTTAATCTCTTAAAAGTCCAAGAGGCAGAAAAAGAACAACACTATGAAGAGAACATCAGAGCATCTCAAGAATTCAAAGGTAGTGAAGATGAAGAACAAAAACATTCAAATGATAGAAAAAGTGATGAGGAACTTGAAGACAAGGAAGAAATTAAGACTGATGAAGTAAAAGAAAAGGAAGAAAAAATAATTGAAGAAAGTTTTGAAATTGAGAAAGACAACTGGGATGGTAAGAAGGAAGATGCAGATATTAAAGAAAAACAAGCTGACTCTGGAGGGGAAAAGGAGGACACACCAGAAGTGTTCAGTGATACTGTAAATATCTCAAATTCAGTTTCTGCTTCTAACATAGGTCTCCCAAGCCCTGACTTATCACAATTTGAAAATAAATCTGCAGATAGTGTTGCTACTGAAGAATATAATGACAAGAAGTTGGATGACATTAAAAGATCTCCGTTAAATTTTGAAGTAATTGATGGTACTACAGTAGAAATTTTTGATGAAATGGCTAGTGCTACACACATACCTCCTGTTATTGAGCCATCTACAGTCATTTCTGAAGAATCTTCAGGAATGAACGAAAAGTTGGCTGCAGGGCATGCACATCCATCTCTTTCTCAGTCATCATTAGACACATCTCAATCTCATTTTGTTAATACCAAACCTTTAGTGGTGTCAAGTTTGGAAGAGAGTGGATCAGTAATTCCAGAAATTGTTAGTTCTACTCCTATGGTTGAAAATTCTCAGCAAACCACAATGATTTTTCCTTCTGAAGAGGAACATAGTGTGCAGAGAGAACAAACTACAGGTATTTCAGATATTAATTCATCTTCATCATGGTTTGATGCATCTTCAACAGTAACATCTTGGAGTAATGGTGAAAAAGAAGTAATTGAAGGAAATATAATAAACAAGAAAGAAGAAAATGAAGTAAAAAAAGAAAAAGAAAGTAAGGCAAAAGAAGGTGAAGTAAAAGAAGAAAGCGAAGTAAAAGAAGAAAAAGTAATTGAAGAGGAAGAAAATAAAGTCAAAGTAAAAGAAGATATTAAAGAAGGAAAAGCAAAAGATGACAAAGAAAATGCAATGAAAGAAGAAGAAAGCGAGGAAAAAGAGAATGAAGGAAATAACACTCAGGAAACTACAGAAAATTTAAGTGAGGGGAGTACTGCCGGGTCATCTTCTGTTAACACTATCTCTGGCACAAGTACTACAGATAGCACACCAACTGATGATGAATTTGGAATACCAAAACCAGATTCAGTAGCTGAGACTGCAGATAAACAGGCAGTAGTTACAGGAGGTTTTTTATCTTCTTGGTTTGGCAGCTTAGAAAATGCAAATAGTCCAGAATCTGTGGAATCCCAGGATTCTTTAGACTCTTCCCCAGCACCAAAGGATTCTAATGAAGAAGAGCCTAATAGTGCTTCAGATGACAGTATAGCAGGTGATTTGGAAGCGGATCCACTCCTGTCAGTTTCCCAAATTGCTATCACTGAGACTCCTGGTGCTTCTGTGTATGAGAATGAAATTCCAGATAACATTTTACAAACTCCAAATTCTGCAGATGAAGATTATAATACCTTCAGCACCCAACAACATACCCCTCCTTCAGAAGATGCCAGTCCTGATTCTCCAGTGTTACCCAGCCCGGAACAGGATCTAAAAATAATCCTTAGTACCGATGGTCAATCTTCTGTGGGAGATTTGGTTCATGACTTTGGTGCTTTGGAAACCAGAAGTGAAGAGGATGCAAATATTATTGATACAGGTAGGGATGTTTGGTGCACTTCTGTAGGTTGTAATTCTCACATTTGGTATATTTATTTGGATGGTGATTTTTTTTTTTTAAATATTGCTAAAACCTGTTAGCCATACAGTATGGTAATCTTTTCATTAATCATTAAATTGGTGGGGCAGTTATTAAGAGTTTCAAAAAAATTTGCCAATTATTTTGAATGCACATAGTTATTACAAAATAAGGCAAAATTTATTTTATAAGTTTAAAAAAGCCCCTGGTTATGCAGAGCATTTCAGGCTGAAACTGAAACTTGAAACTAAATTTTCAATGTAATACAGTTGTGTTGTTGAAGTGGGATTATTGAGATGTTAAATTTAATATAAAGTTGTCCAAAGAGTTGTTTTTTTAGTATTCTGGTTGTTTCTCACTGATGCTGGGTTTCCCAAACTACAAAACTGTAGTGTACTGTATATTAAAATTGTAATGGTAATATGAAGACATACTAACACAAAATTATATTGGTGGTTTTAGTTATAGTAATTGTTGGGGTTAGAAACACAGTATAGTACTGGTAATACACGAGTATGAATGCTGATTGGAGTCTGAATAAGCAGGTCGCATTATATCTATAGCATATGACATTTATATTGAATATGTGTAAATTTACCCTAAATTGAGATGTTTTTTAACAATGTGTTTGAAGCAGTTGGCAAATGGTGAGCTTTAAAAGAGAGTTCCATATTTTTGTGTTTTGTCTTTGTATGGAGCTTCTACTGTGGTTGAGTAGAACACATTGCGATATCTTGTAGAGTATCTGTTGAAGCACATAAGTGAACGCTGAAATAAAGGTAAGTAACTTTTCATTGCATTTATGGATCTAGAAAAGGCTTATGATAGGATTGATAAGGGAGCAGTGTTGTAGATGTTGCAAAGGTATGGAATAGGTAGTAGGTTATTTACAACAGTAAGGAGCTTTTATGTGGATAGAGTAGGAGACAAACATATTTTCCAGTAAATAAGGTCTTAGACAGGGATTTGTGATGTCACTATGGTTGTCTAACACAGTATTTATAGATGAGATTGCAAAAGAAGTGAATGCTAGGGTGATAAGGAGAAGTGTGAGATTGAAAGATTATGAATCTGGTTTGGGGTGGAAGTTGTCACAGTTGATTTTTGCCATTGACTATTCGGAAGAGAAGTTGCAGAGGATGTTAAACGAATTTGGGAGGGTATATAAAAGAAGGAAATTTAAAGTAAACATAAGAAATAACTAGGTGATGAGAGTATCAAAGTATATAGGCAGTGAAATACTGGATATCTGATTGGGGGGAGGGATGGATTATGGAGGAAGTAAATATGTTCAGATATTTGGGAATGGACTTTGTCAGGTGGCTCTATGAGAGATGAAGTGACCCATAGAATTGGTGAGGAGAAAAAAGATGTGTGGTGTGTTGAGACATCTCTGAAGATTAAGACCTTTATCCATGGAGGGGAAAAAGGGGAATGTACCAGAGTATAGTGGTACTAGCACTATTGTATGGGTGTGAAACATGGGTTTATAATGTTACAGTGAGGAAGTGGCTGAAGACAGAGATATCGTATTTGAGGGCATTGTGTAGTGTGAACATTATTCAGAGAATTTAGAGTTTGGGGATTATTCAGTGAGCTGAAGAGGGGTTGTTGAGGTGGTTTGGACATTGAGAGATGGAATTAAATAGGAGGACTAGGAGTGTATATAAATCTGGGGTGGAGGGAAGGTGGGGTAGGGGTCATAATAGGAAAGGCTGGAGGGAGGAGGTTCATGAATGAGGTTTTAACTGCTAGGAGTAGAGGCCAGTGACTTTAATGATTTGACATGCTGATGTAGTGTGTGCAGCATAACATTTATGAAGGGATTCAAGGAAACTGTTTAGCTGGACTTGAGTTCTGGAAGTGGGAAGTATAGTGCCTGCACTATGAAGGAGGGGTGGGAATGTTGCAGATTGAGGTTCACTTGAACTGTGATATCTCTTCCCTTCTGAAAAGACAGTGATTTCATGAGTGATAGTGAAAGTGTTTTCTTCTTTGCCAGGTCCCCCTACCTTGGTGGGAGGTGACTAGTGTGTTAAAAAAAAAAATATGCCTTCTGTTACAGCTCTGCAAGAAGTTTTATCACTAGGTTAATATTTGTATTGAGTTCTCTCTATACTGTATACACTATGCACAGCAATAAGTGTAAATGTTTTGCATGTTTTGACTAGCAGGGGTGTGTTGTATCTACAATGTGATTGAGTGATTATTCTAATAGCAAAATTTTGTTATGATGAATTTTAGGTGATTTGTTTTATAGATTCCTATTCACAAATACTGTAAGTGAGGTAAGGATAAATTATTGAGTAGTATAGGGAGAGAGTATTGGTTTTTGAGGTACGTGGTAGCACATCTGAAAGAATGCATAGTTTTTAAAACTTTTCTTAGATTCATGTGTTGTGTTGAATTTTAGTTTGCTGTAAAGGTATATGCCTAAGAATTTTTTCCTCATCTTTTCTTTCATTATGTATAAAATTTAACTTTTGCATTCAGTTGAATATTTTTAACCTTACTCTTGAATACTATGTCAGCAGTTTTATGAATATTGATGGAGAGATGGTTTGTTGTCATCAGAGTAGATATATTTACAAGCTCATAATAAACAGTGTCGTTGAAGACAACCAGGTCTGGATTTGAAACGATAAAAGTTGTGTGGGTCTTGAACCATGGCAAGTGAGTCCCTAAAACTCACAGGCCAGTATGTTAACCACTCAACCAGCTGCCTCTGTGAGGTTTTAGGAATCATCATGGGTTCAAGCCCTACCCACTTTGTGATTTGTTTGTAACAGTGTTGTTATGATTTAGGTGCCTTGGAGGAATTAGGTAGGTCATTGATGTAGATGAGAAATAATATAGGGCTTAGAAAATACTGCATTCTGGTACCCCTTTGCTGATAGGTCAAGATGAAATATTGTCATTGATGGTCTTGTGTTGGGATTTTAGGGAAGTGTGACCATAATGTTCCATAATATTCTGGTTTAAGTAGCGGGATATTGTGGTTTTCAGTATGAAAAACTTTTTGTACATTATTAAAAAGACCCATGGTATATTCGGTAATTTCTAGAGATGTCTAAATTGAATCAAGCATTTCTATTATTGCATCATTTATACTTTCTCCTGGCATGAAACCAAACTGGCAAGGTTTAAAAATTCTTTGCTACTACTACAAATAATTGTTTTTAATTTCTTATGATTATTTTTGTCTTCTAAAAATTTGTATATAATGATATGATATTACAGTTTATTCAGGGTGTGATATCTCTCAAAACATGAAAATTAGTCGCATTGTTTGACTATCAAGGTTTATCCTGGGTTAAATATATACATAAATTGTAATGTACTTTGTGGGTACTCGCCTGTTTGTGGTTGCAGGGGTCGAGTCATAACTCCTGGTGTGTGTGTGTGTGTGTGTGTGTGTGTGCATATGCGCATGTGCATTCGTGCGCGAGTGCATGCGAGTGTGCACGAGTGCGAGCGTGCATGCATGCATGCATGCATGCGAGTGTGTGAGAGTGTGAGAGTGTGAGAGTGTGAGAGTGTGAGAGTGTGAGAGTGTGAGAGTGTGAGAGTGTGAGAGTGTGAGAGAGTGAGAGAGTGTGAGAGAGTGTGAGAGAGTGTGAGAGAGTGTGAGAGAGTGTGAGAGAGTGTGAGAATGAGAGTGAGTGTGTGTACTCACCTATTTGTGGTTGCAGGGGTTGAGTCTTAGCTCCTGGCCCTGCCTCTTCACTGGTTGCTACTGGGTCCTCTCTCTCCCTGCTCCATGAGCTTTATCAAACCTCGTCTTAAAACTATGTACGTTTCCCAGCCTCCACTATGTCACTTTCTAGGCTATTCCACTGCCTGACAACTCTATGACTGAAGAGTGTGTGCGTGAGTGTGTGTGTGTGTGTGTGTGTGTGTGTGTGTGTGTGTGTGTGTGTGTGTGTGTGTTTGTGTGTGTGTTTGTGTGTTTGTGTGTGTGTGTGTGTGTGTGTGTGTGTGTGTGTGTGTGTGTGTGTGTGTGTGTGTGTGTGTGTGTGTGTGTGAGAGTGAGAGAGTGAGAAAGAGCATGAGAGTATAAGAGAGACAATATGAGACAGTATGAGAGAGAGAGAATGAGAGAGAGAGAGAGAATGCACAAGAGGGAATATGATATGATACCTCTCAATGCCTGAAAATAAGTCACTGCATGTCCTGCCAGACCCTTTATTTTTTCTAGGCTTGACAAGTGGTAGGACACCCAAACAGTTGAGCCTAAGCATAAAATGATGGTACACATCTAATTTAAGGCCTAAAATTGAAAATACAGTTAAGCTATGATAATATCCCACTTTAGATAAATCCCTTTCAACCAGATTTTGTAAATGGAGAAGAGTCAAAAATTTCAAACCTATCAGAAGTAGAAGATCCTCAGGCCTTTCCCTCAGACGAAGATGAGGAAGATCCTGGATCAAGTACCGCACGACCGATGTATGCCGAGCCAGAGCCTTCAACCCAAGGCTCGCCTTCAGAATCCAGCGTAGTCTCTGATGATCTAGCACATCTGGCAGGTAAGCTCAGTGCCAGAATATTTTAATGAAATCGTTTCTTCTTACTTTCTCTAATAATACCTATCTAATTTTAGACTAATTATTCATTTCTCAAGCTAATTTAAGTCAATTGGTTGAATGCTAGGAGTTGGGACCAAGGACTAAAACCTTTCTCTCTTGCAAACTCAAATAGATGATTGTGAGAGAAATTTTTGCAGGATCATTAAACTTGCATAAAATATTACCTATAAGTTGAGAGATATACTTTCAGTCTGCAGAGTGCTTTTTTACACTGTCTTTACAGTTAATGTAGGAGTAATTTTCAGTAAAAGTTTATTTTGAGAGGAATTAGGCTAATTTTTTGTTGTTTCCTTTAAATATGGTTAGGTTAGAGAGATTTTTTTAGCTTTGTTTAAATAGTTATGCAGAGCAAAAGCTTACTAGCATTACACATACTTTTGTACACATCACCATTATTATACTCATGTATGTGTTTTTTAAATCTTGATTTATCCAACTTTAATTTATAGTTACGAGTTCCTGCTTGGTTTGATATTGTTAGCATCCTATTTGCATCACTTCTCCCTTCAACTTGTCTTCCACTTGTACAGTTAATCATATCTTCCATCATTGTGTGTCTTTCAAGAAAGTGTAGGTTCAGGGCTCTCAATCAATCTTCATATATAAGATTCCTTATACATGATTAATTTTGTCAAACTTCACTGTATGTTCTCTGAAATATTTGTCTCTTTTGTAGTATGGAGACCTGAACTGAGCTGCACAATCAAAGTGAGGTCATAATAATGATATTCCCCCCCACCCAACAAGTTGGCCGTCTCCCACCGAGGCAGGGTGACCCAAAAAGAAAGAAAATCCCCAAAAAGAAAATGCTTTCATCATCATTCAACACTTTCACCTTACTCATACAAAATCACTGTCTTTGCAGAGGCACCCAGATACAACAGTTTAGAAGCATATATAAAGATATATAACATAGTGAGGCTCAAGTTAAGAGTATGTAGGAAAGAGGGAAATTATTTCCCAGTAAAAGTAGGCCTTAGACAAGGATATGTGATGTCACCGTGGTTGTTTAATTTATTTATAGATGGGGTTGTAAGAGAAGTAAATGCGAGGGTCTTGGCAAGAGGCGTGGAGTTAAAAGATAAAGAATCACACATAAGGTGGGAGTTGTCACTGTTGCTCTTTGCTGATGACACTGTGCTTTTGGGAGATTCTGAAGAGAAGTTGCAGAGATTGGTGGATGAATTTGGTAGGGTATGCAAAAGAAGAAAATTAAAAGTGAATACAGGAAAGAGTAAGGTTATGAGGATAACAAAAATATTAGGTGATGAAAGATTGGATATCAAATTGGAGGGAGAGAGTATGGAGGAGGTGAATGTATTCAGATATTTGGGAGTGGACGTGTCAGCGGATGGGTCTATGAAAGATGAGGTGAATCATAGAATTGATGAGGGGAAAAGGGTGAGTGGTGCACTTAGGAGTCTGTGGAGACAAAGAACTTTGTCCTTGGAGGCAAAGAGGGGAATGTATGAGAGTATAGTGTTACCAACGCTCTTATATGGGTGTGAAGCATGGGTGATAAATGTTGCAGCGAGGAGAAGGCTGGAGGCAGTGGAGATGTCATGTCTGAGGGCAATGTGTGGTGTGAATATAATGCAGAGAATTCGTAGTTTGGAAGTTAGGAGGAGGTGCGGGATTACCAAAACTGTTGTCCAGAGGGCTGAGGAAGGGTTGTTGAGGTGGTTTGGACATGTAGAGAGAATGGAGCGAAACAGAATGACTTCAAGAGTGTATCAGTCTGTAGTGGAAGGAAGGCGGGGTAGGGGTTGGCCTAGGAAAGGTTGGAAGGAAGGGCTAAAGGAGGTTTTGTGTGCGAGGGGCTTGGACTTCCAGCAGGCATGCGTGAGCGTGTTTGATAGGAGTGAATGGAGACAAATGGTTTTTAATACTTGACGTGCTGTTGGAGTGTGAGCAAAGTAACATTTATGAAGGGGTTCAGGGAAACTGGCAGGCCGGACTTGAGTCCTGGAGATGGGAAGTACAGTGCCTGCACTCGAAGGAGGGGTGTTAATGTTGCAGTTTAAAAACTGTAGTGTAAATCACCCTTCTGGCAAGGCAGTGATGGAGTGAATGATGGTGAAAGTTTTTCTTTTTCGGGCCACCCTGCCTTGGTGGGAATCGGCCAGTGTGATGATAAAATAAAAAATAAAAATAAATATATGCTTCAAGGTAAACACTTGATCTACACATCCCCTACCCACTCTGAAACCTCCTTGCTCATCTGCAATCCTACATTCTGTTACCTCTAATCCCTTCAATAATAACCCTACCGTACACTTTTCCTGGTATACAGTGGACCCCCGTTTAACGATCACCTCCCAATGCGACTAATTATGTAAGTGTATTTATGTAAGTGCGTTTGTATGTGTATGTTTGGGGGTCTGAAATGGACTAATCTACTTCACAATATTCCTTATGGGAACAAATTCGGTCAGTACTGGCACCTGAACATACTTCTGGAATGAAAAAATATCGTTAACCGGGGGTCCACTGTACTCAGTAAACTTATTCCTCTATAATTTTTACAGTCTCTTTTGTCCCCCTTCCCTTTATATAAAGGAACTATACATGCTCTCTGCCAATTCCTAGGTACCTTCCCCTCTTTCATACATTTATTAAACAAAAATACCAACCACTCCAACACTATATCCCCCCCTGCTTTTAACATTTCTGTCATGATCCCATCAGTTCCAGCTGCTTTACCCCCTTTCATTTTACGTAATGCCTCACGCACCTCCTCCACACTCGCATCCTGCTCTTCTTCACTCCTAAAAGATGGTATACCTCCCTGGCCAGTGCATGAAATTACCGCCTCCCTTTCTTTGTCGACATTTAAAAGTTCCTCAAAATATTCTTGCCATCTACCCAATACCTCCCTCTCCCTATCTACTATCTCCTCTACTGTTTTTAACTGACATATCCATTTGTTCCCTAGGCTTTCTTAACCCTTTCAGGGTCGAGAGGCCCTCTCTTAACCCTTTCAGGGTTTCGGCCGTACTAGTACGGCTTACGAGCCAGGGTCCTTGACGTACTAGTACTCATAAATTCTAGTGCCTTCAAATCTAGTGAGAGAAAGCTGGTAGGCCTACATATGAAAGAATGGGTCTATGTGGTCAGTGTGTGCAGTATAAAAAAATGGTGCAGCACACAGTGCATAATGAGAAAATGAAAAACTTTGACCGTATTTTTGGATTAAAACAGCGACTTTGCACTGTATTTTCGTATAGTATTTATTGTTGTATCCTAGTTTTCCTGGTCTCATTTTATAGAATGGAAGACATATTACAGAAATTGAGATGATTTTGTCTGGTTTTACAATGAAAAGTACCTTGAATTTGAGCTCAAAGTAGCAGAAATGTTCGATTTTTACCAAAGTTCAAAAGTAAACAAATCACGCTAAGCATCCAATACACATCAACTGGTGAGTCGAATATTCTTTCACAAGTGCGCCGATATTATTTATACCATTTCTACACTAATGCAGTAGTCTCCATAACAGTAAATCTTCTATTTTTTGTGAGAATAAAAATTCAAAATGGAAAGCAAAAGAATGTAAGAGGGGTGTGGGGATGTGACTAATGAACAGAGGAAATGTTATTCTAGTGCCAGGAATGTCTTTATTGTTTATTCTAGACCCTATTTGGAAATTGGCATCTTTTGAAATTTGTGTGAGATTGGCAAAATTGCTAAATTCTGACCACTGTATTAGATAGTTGAAATCAGTAAATGGGTGGTTTCTTCTGCTCATTTGATAGAAAAAATGGAGTTCTAGAGAAATAGTTATGATTTTTGTCGACAAGTACATTGGAATTGGTCGAAAATAGGGCTCAAAGTGGGCAAAATCGCCTATGCTTAAACAACGTCAAGACCGCTAACTTCGTGAGAGCATAATTCCATAAGTTTTCCATCAAATTTCATACTTTTGGTGTCGTGATCGGGTAAAGATTCTCTATCTTTTCATAAGAAATAATAATTTTTTTTTTTGAAATTTGGGGGACCCTGAGAACAAGTTTGAGAGGGTCTGTGGACCCTCTCAGGGTCAAAAATTTTTCGAAAAAAAAAAAAAAAAATCTCATGAAATGATAGAGAATCTTTTCCCAATCATAATGACACCAAGAGTATGAAATTTGATGGAAAACTTACGGAATTATGCTCTCGCGAAGTTAGCTGTCTTGACGATGTTTACGCATCAGCGATTCCACCCTCTTTGAGCCCTATTTTTGGCCAATTCCTGTGTACTAGTCGACAAAAGTCATATTTATTTTGCTAGAACTCCATTTTTTCTATCGAATGAGTACAAGAAACCACCCATTTACCAGTTTCAATTATCCAGTAAAGTGGTTAGAAATTGGCAATTTTGCCAGTTTCACACAAATTTCAGAAGATGCCAATTTCCAAATAGGGCCCAGAATAAACAAGAAAGACATTCCTGGCACTAAAATAACAAGTTCTCTGTTCGTTAGTCACGTCCCGAGGCCCCTCTTATATTTCTTTTGATTTTCACTTTGAATTTTTATTCCTACAAAAAATAGGAGATTTACTGTTATGCAGACTACTGCATTAGTGTAGAAATGGTATAAATAATATCAGCGCACTTGTGAAAGAATATTTGACTCGCCAGTTGACATGCATTGGGCGCGTGGCATGATTTGTTTACTTTTGAACTTTGGTAAAAATTGAACATTTCTGCTACTTTGAGCTCAATTTCAAGGTACTTTTCATTGTGAAACCAATCAAAATCATCTCAATTTCTGTAATATGTCTTCCATTCTATAAAATGAGACCAGGAAAACTAGGATACAACCATAAATACCATATGAAATTACAGTGCAAAGTCGCTGTTTTAATCCAAAAACACGGTCAAAGTTTTTTTTTTTCTCATTACGCACTGTGCTGCAGGATTTTTTTTATACTGCGCACACTGACCACATAGACCCATT